TCGGACAAATCAGGGAGGATCGCGGAGGAAGTGGGAGGGACACGGTTGAGGAGAAGGCGAACGACGTCGTCGGCCATTAGACTGCCATAAACGAATACACTGTGCATTGCCACTGTACCACTCATCTTCGTTTTGCTCTGACCTGAGCCAGGGAGCCTTGGATATGCAACGTTTTTTATGTACAGACTATTGAGTGAACGGACTCAAGAACAGAATCTTACTGAGATTCTTTGGGCCTTGAAGCCTACGAATCTCTGGTTTTGTGTAGGGATCTTAATATGGGCTTAAAATTTTGGAGTTTTAATGGGCTTTTAAAATTTAAAACACCCATTTAGACCCATTTATGAAATTTAATGTTGATAGGTTTAAATGGGCTACCCATTAAAACTCATTTTTAAACGGGTTTTTGTTAAAATAAACGTGCATCATTTAGACGCATTAATATTCGTTTTCTTCTGAACGATACCGTTTTCTTTAAGGGTTTCTGCTTCTTCATCGAGAATTTCTGATTTAAACTAACGTTTCTAATCATTATTAGATGCTGATCTCAACAAAACTATGGTATCCATCATTGACAATTATGATTTTATGAAGATGGAACCACATCAATTTCTGTACTTACCACGTGAGATTGTGGCTCCATCTTCATAAAATCAGAATTGTCAACGATGGATGCTACAATTTTGTTGAGATCAGTATCTAATAGTTAACTAGAAACGTTACTTTAGATTTTCAAAATAAAACTAAATGTGACAAGAAACAAATTAAATATGAAACTTACATGTAAAATGATTTACTGGATCACTTCCTTTTAGTGAAAAGACATGTCTAGATGACTCCAAATATTTCTTAACGATTTGAATAGATTTCACCAATTGTTTATTATGGGATAATGTGCTTTTAAGATCTCTTTTGATGATAGACAACCATAGTGTAGATATGGCGCTACACTCAACATGACTGAGATTAAGCCAATTCTCTCAACAATCTACGAGATATGGTAATTGTGAAGCGTCTCCACAGAGGACTCATCAAGTAGCGTACCAACGTACGCTAGATTGATGAGATCGTGGATGAATTCTGCACTTATAAAATGCATTTTAAATATAA